GGTTTTTGTTTGAATGAAACACATTAGTGTTTATTGCTCTATGGAATATTTTACCATTTGCATATAATAAAGAAGAATTGTTTTTTTTACCTTGTTGCTGACATTCGATATCTTGGACCTTTTTATGTTGAGGGCCTGACCATGGGACATGGTGTTTGCAGGGCATTCCCCCCACATTTGACTGTTGGGTCATCTGCTGACTTTTTTAACATGGTTATTAATAATTTTTGCCAAAAATATATAATTTGAAAACTAACAGCGCAATATGCCTATCCAAATATGTATCATAAATAAAATACAAATAAAATATTGCGGCTAACATATACAGTGTTCCCACATACAAATACTAATTTTGGGTCAACGTCCAAGTGGTGTGATTTGGAGGGTTCAGGAGGAGTTGGAGATTGACACACCATCATACCCGCCCGGGTTAAAGGGAAAGGAGCAGTTTGACCTGACGGTTTGGGTCAAACCACAAGGTGAACGCATAAGTGTGTTGGAGGGGGATCTAACACTGGGGGTCACACGATATCATTGGATGAATATATACAGAGAAGAAATTGCACATTAGCACTTGGAGCACTGAGTCTTAAAGAGACGGATCACCAAGATTTATATTGGGACATTATTATTAGATAAACGCACAGTGGATAGAATTCAGATAATGCATGGTATTATGAGGAATATGAGGAAGTGTGCGTTATTGTGTTGTATTTAAAGCAATACGTTTTGAACACAGAATATGAACTTATATGGTATTTAATTATTGCCACAGAGCAAGATTTATGCATATTTAATATTTATTTATTTTATAATATTGCGCTGCATTTTTGTATATTAGTAATAATTTTTGCCGAGTATTTGCAGAGTTTTCTGCTACTGACTACATACTTTTCATTAACATGGTAAATGTTATATCCAAGAAAAGGGGATTCATTAATTTTACAAATGGCCTGCCTATTGCTTCATTTTTAGGACCTGTCATGCTGGTCCCCATTTATTCCAATGAGCTCTATAAACTCTTAAAGTGTTCTACATAGGATTATTATTATATGATAAAGCATGAAACACAGGCAGCTATGACCCGGACAGCTATATTAAGACGCTTTATTGTTATGAATATAATTTCTTTTTATTATACTGTGCATGTTTTATTGTATAATTATTGTAATTATAAGTCTAGCTTTTCAAAAAAATGCATAAATTAACACCTCCAAAAACTCTACAGAATTCCGGAAAGTTCACACTCTTTATACTTTAAAATGAGAACTCCAGTGATGACTGTTACTATATCCGGAGCTTCAGCTCTGCATATTAAACACTCAAATTCCCTTCAGAAAGATAAAAAATGTTTAACATTTTCCTATATTATTATGCAAGTTATATTTCCCTTTGCTGTCTGGTAACAATAAAAATAGCTTATTTAATTATTGTAGTTATGTGTCATGCTCTTATTTCTTTATAACGTGTGATGAGTTTATTGCCCATTTTTTCAATAGAAAAAGTGGCGCATGTGACCTTTCACGCTATGTTTACACTATGCTGGTCTGTAATTTACTACTTTTATATTGCTGGGTATTAAATCAAAGAAATATCTATCTATCTCCCTTCAGGAAGCTACATTTGGTCATATTTGACACTACTGTATTAAGGAACCATTGCTGGTCACTCTGTAATGCACATATTATCAGTGATCTTAACATCGCTCTGTCTGCAGCTGCCAGCTTCTCTGACATTGACAAATAGGGCCCAGTAGGTAGGATCTATGGAGCATCACTGACATCCTGAACACAAACTATATTGTGTATCCTTGCAATATCCCACAAGCCACTTGCGTGTATGCGCATCACTCAAATAAATTTGATTTAAAGCTGCATAAACAGAACTTTGGAAGAGAATAGGAAAAAAAGGAAGCAAAGGAGGGCATGGCGTGCTGGTTCTCAGTACATACATCATTTCCATATCAAGGTCACTCACAGTAATGTATTCCCATGAAAACTATGTGACCAAGGGGCAGTAATTGCCTGTTCTAGTCACCCATAATTTTTGTATTGTTTATTTCAGATACAACACTTTATCTATTTAGATAAAAGGCTTCCGTAAAAAAAAAATAAAAAAAAAAAAAAAAAATGATGTGACAGCAGCATCATCTGCTGGTCTATCCTAGGATAACACAACAAAAATAATCCAATTTTATCTAGAAGGCACAGCTTGCGTTTGTTTATTCTTTTCATTGCAAGGATGTCCCTTTATGGTTACTTAACAGTCACAGTTTAACAAGGGAGAAACACGGGTAAATAACCTGGTTGATGGGAGTTTAAAAAAAAATACTGGATGGTTTAAGACCTCTTTCCATGCTGTGCTATTACAGGGGGAAAGTTGCATCATTTACAGCAAGATTGAGGCCTGTCTTCCTGAGCGCCACAGGTTTTACTATTAATTCTGGCAGGTGATTTGGGAATTTGGTGGCTGTGAATGCTAAAAGCTGTTCTTGTGACATTTAAGCATATGGCCAGCTTTGCAGAAATAAATCATTTCCAACAGGCTTCAAGCTTTTGCTTCCTGTTGAGAAGTAAATTATTCCTGTGAAGGAACTCAGCTCCCATTAACCTACCAGCAAATTGCTGGAAGAAACAGATTCTTAAGCGCCAGGTTGACTGGGCAAACCCCATTCATTAGCAAGGTAATGGCCAAAGACTGGCATTGTTACTGGCACAATTCCCATATGAGGTTGAGGGGGTAACCAGTATTGGGGACATTAAAAAGCTCTTCATGGTTCATTATTCCGGTTAATTAAGTTCTTGCATTAAATGGGTCAGATGATAGGATGATATGTTAGTATATAAATCTACATCTATTCATGCAACATCTATGTTGAGTATTAATTAAAATACACATACAGTACACCATGATTCCAAATAATCTAGTAATGTCAATGACAGGTATAATCATTTCTGTAGCTGTTTGTGTCAAAAGGTCTGTCATGGAAATTATGACCAAAGAATGGGTAAGAAATTGTTATTTCAGCTGAATTCAAACCGACTTGTAGTAAAATGCAGAGAAGATGGATGTATATTTCCATCCGTTTTATGCAAATTTTAAAGCACATTGACAGGTTAACGCGTAAACAAATAAATAACTTTTTTTAATGTATCCTGTTCACACTACAATGCTGTGTTTACATGTGTGTTGAGTTGAGGTATAATGCATAAATGTTGCATTTTAACACAATGCAGGTCAACACAGTGTTGTAGTATAAACAGAACATATAAAACGCAGTTTTTTTTATGTATCTATGCGTTGACCTGTATTTTACAAGTGTGCTAAAATGCAATTCGATGTGCTTTAAAACGCACATAAAATAGATGGAAATGTGCATCCATTTTACCTGCATTTTACTGCAAGTCAGTGTGAATTCAGCCTTCAACAGACAATGCAATGAATGGGGATATGTAAAAAGGGCTGGCATGGTTGCACTGTACTTGCTAGTATAAACTTTCAGTTTTCCTGCCTCTATGTTAGTCCATATTTACTTTTTATGCCTGAATGAATACTTTGCCCTGTGCAGTTTGGACATATTACCGGTCTAATTTGTCAAGTATAATAGATATTGGAGTTCAGATTTTCTACTGGAATAAAGAGAGATTGTGGCACATATATGACAGAGGAGAAAGATCCAACAGTGTGGATTTTTAGAAAGAGACTGTGCAGGACCAAGCACAGTGGACATCTTCTATAGGCATAGGTGATTATGTCAAGGGTGTTGAGGGAAGACATTTGGGACCATGAAGTATAAAACAGAACTGAATATTAAAAATTTACTTGTGAGCCAATAAGGTGTATAATAAACAGCTTCTATCAATAAGATCGCAGGCTATCTTGCTCACCCTCATAAATGTGAGTTATCAGTGCATACAAATGAAGAAAATATAGATGCCGCGCTCTATCAAGACCTATTACCTGTATATAGTATAAAAACTGTATTTGCATTAAATCTCTAATAGCTGCATGATCTTTTATGTGTAACCATACATGATTGTAATACCAATAAATACCCAAACATGTGTTGATAATAATGAATAAATGAATTAAAAAAAAATATATCAAAATTGGTGATAACAAAAAAAAATAAAAAGTCGGTGCTAAATTATTCAAATTTGTGTTCTTTGATGATTAAATAAATATTCAATTAAGAAATAGATATCAAAAATAAAAATTGGAAAATATGGAAAATAAATAAAAGGTAAAAATTCAATGAATTTTGTGCAAAAGCGCAAAACAAACTTGGTGCAGAGTTCAGCAGGGATGAAATATCTGTGTGCTCTCCTTCCAATCAGCCTGAGGTGATGCAGGTGAAGGTTGCAGATAGAGGGCTATTATGTAAGCCTGAATGGTCATATGGATCTCTCCCTCCTCAGATCTTTCCTTGATCTAGCCCTTAAAGCATTCCTCATACGGATCATGTAAACAGAGAAAAGTGCATAGTGCTTTATCATTGATACAAATAAACACTTTAATATGCGCTCAATATGCACTCACATTGATTAAAAACAATCTGCACTTTGTATAATAGCCGCTTAAAGCGGTGAAGACCAGCCTCTCGGGTGTGCTCGCATACACTACCAGTGCTCGCCATGTAAGGATGCGTGGTGATGTCACTGCCCCTCCCCAACGTGTATCTCCACAGGGATTCGTGGCTTCGTCCGGGGGATGTACAAAAACAGAACTGCTGTGCAAAAAATGGTAGCCCATTAAAAGATGAATTAGAAAAGCAGCTTTTGCTGCAATACCCACCTTCAATAATCGAGAGATGTTCTTCACAGCACAGCCACTAAAAAGTGTCTTCCAGTTTTATTGATGGCCACCATTATTCCACCTACTACTTTTAAGTGCTGGTTCACACCAATGTGACTTCTTATGCAACTTGAGTAGCACAGAATCTCATGACAATGGAAATCCAGGGGCGGACTGACCATTTGGAAACTCGGGCACTGCCCGAGGTCAGTAGGGGGCCCCATGAGATGCCCCTGATACCTTTTTCATAGGCTTTTTTGAGTTTGGGCAAGGACACAGGGGCCCCATGATACCCTATTGCCCGAGGGCCCCATGAGTTGTCAGTCCGCCCCTGCTTGTACCCCACGGTTATAAGAGTGTTGTACATGCACTCATCACATGTGAGAGGTGCACTTTATATACACTTTTAATAGAAAGATTCCTAAAATACATATAGTGGACCTTTTTTCATAATATTTTATGTATATATGAAAGAATCCTGTCCCCTCCCATTTTTTAACCCTCTCCCACTCCCTCCCTACTCTGGTCTTTCCTTCCTTTCTCTTTCATCTACCATTATACCAGTTAGGTTACTCTATGACATGGAGGGGGATATATTTACGAAAGCTGGAGATTGCAAAATCTGGTGCAGGACTGCATAGAAACCAATCAGCTTCCAGGTTTTATTGTCAAAGTTTAATTGAACAAGCTGAAGTAAAAAGCTGATTGGCTACAGTGCACAGTTGCACTGGATTTTGAATGCAGCAGTTTTAGTAAATCTACCCTGGTGTCTGTTCTACCTTTTCTACCTATTGGTATCACTTCAGTGGTCTTCACTAATCTACTCTTATTCACACTGGATACCCACCAAATATACTGTATATGAGCATTTTGCTCATGGATGGAAGTTTGATTAATGATTTATCTTACTTCCTCTTGTTTACCCCAAATGTAATGGTTTGCACTGGTTTTATACGAGCTGAAACCCTCTTGTAATTACACTGTACGCACGCTTTATGAACATTGTATCATGCTTTTTCATGTGTTGATTCATGTCCTATAATCCTTTGTTTCTATTTCTGTACCTTGTTTGAATCTTTTTATTAAAGTATAAATAAAGGCAATTTTTTTGCTTAGTTTTGAATAGGGTGTAGTGGGGTAGAACCCCTGTCATTTTTTATTGCTGTCTGTACCCCCATTTAGCAGATTTACCTTCTCTATTTGTCCTGTTTACCGTTATAATTGAAAGTGAAAGTAAAAGAAAATCTCAAATATTGGGTTGTCCCCAGGGAAAATCTTCCAATGGGGACACTAGTTCTGGTGGCCCTGGGGGGTCCCAAGGGATTTCCTCCCATTTCCTGTTTGGCTATGGCCAGGAAGTGAAATAAAATCTCTGCAAAGGGACACAGATGGTGAAAAAAAAATCTGACAGGGATTATAACCTTCTCTTGTTCTATCCAAAATGGAAAAAAAAAAAGTCTTGCCTATAGTTCTAGTTTAATAAATACTATGAATGAGAAAGAATCCTTATGCCTATATAGACCTACTATAATTTGGACGTAGTTGTATGTTACCCAAAAGTTCTAATCAGATATACAGGTATGTACAGTATATGTGCTTCCTTTCTGTGTTTGTTTAAATTTAGCCTTTTCTTTTTTAATGACCTATTTGCCCTAAAATACCTGATGATCCTGTCAGTTCCCCTTTGTATTAATTTCATTCTGACCACACCAAGCACAGAAGTGTATCCATGATGGTGTGGTTAAGTTTGGATGTCGGCTCTTCCTCCTTGGAGATACTGACTGCTGTCAGTTCATTTTCTTTGCCCCTGCCCAACCCTGCTGAGTTGATAGTGGCTCCAAGTGAGTGCCTCACTGTCAATCTGCAGTTATCTATAGCCAAAGTACTTTTCAGCTGTGCGTGATGTCAGCCTACTTACTTTAGATATTTCCTCCTCTATGAAGGAGAAGGGGTTCCAGAGGGCTGTGATCACGTGACAGTCAAAAAGAAAAACATAAAAATTAAGGTTAATATAATATAAATGTATTACAAAATGAATAGAACTTAGGCCCCTTTCACATGGGGCAGACTCTGTTTTAATCAGCAGGGGATCTGTCTACTGATCCTTTTGATGATTAGAGCAGAGCGGGCGGATGACAGGTCTATGTCCACTAAGTTTACGCAGAGCAGACACAGACCAAGCTCACTCTGCTTTATGGACAGCTGGGTGCAAACAGACTCCACTGCCTGTTTACACATGACTGCCCAACAATCCAAACCAATCCACATAGATGGAGGAGGACAGATCCCCTTTGTTTTTGTTTTTTTTTCAGTTTTAGTTATTTTGAGGTAAGTGGGTATAAACACCTGCTGGTTCATAGGGGTGAATAGGGGTGAATAGACCATCCAATAAGGTCTCCTTGAAAAACCACCAGGCCCGATCGCACCCTTCTTGTGAAAGGCACCTTATACTTAAAAATATTATTTTCTGTCATTTAATTAGCTTGTGTAGCATTGTATTCACAACTAATTTAATTTGCCAATTGAAATCCAACTACTATATGATTGTTTCAAACTGACAATTCTAGAATGAATATATACCGTTCTGATATACAATAATTGGACAGATACTTTCCCTCAGTGTGTTTGCTCTGAAAAACAGTCGTTTGTTTCAGAGCTTTATTTTAGTATGGAAGCTATTGATAAGAAATATTTAGAAGCAGCACACAAAACACTGTGGCTTTATTTCTCAAAAACAGAACTTAAATGAGAAGGAATACATAAAAAATGTTTTTTTATGTTGCCTTTATCTTTTTACATTAAATAAACTGTAGGAAGTAAACATATATAAGTATAATAATGTTAGTTCATTAGTAGAAAGGTGTTTAGTTGAGGGGCATATGGGGGTGCAGGGAAAAATGGAAGAAGGACAGAATGCATCTACACAGATATATTTAAAGCTTATCTCTGGGTTGAAATAATATTTTTATAGAAAAGTATTAAATGGCTTGCCCATGGAGTAAATGCTCTTAGTATTTAGATATTTTCCCCTAAGCTTCTTCAATCAAACACATTTTGCAAAACGTGGTATCAAAGGACTTTCTATGTAATAGAATGGTCACCACTGTCTGCTTTCCCTCCACTGGTTGATGGGTCTCCTCATCACCCTTATACTTTCCATTCAGGCAGGACTGACATCATTGAGCCTGTGCTGCCCAATTTGGTGGGAATACAGCAATGATCGCACTTCCTCTCTCCACCTATTTGTAACCATCTCCTCATCCCCAGCAGTCACACAAAACAGACTTCATCCTTCTTACTAATAATGTAATGAGCCACTCTTTTACAAAATTTGCACCTCCAGGAAACAGGGCAATAAAAAAAAACCCTCATAAACCCCATGGCCTCAAAGAAAAATTACTGCATGAAACAAAAACAGAAAAACAGGTTAACAAGGCAATCAAAAAAGCCTACTTTTTGGATTATGACCCTTCATGAAAAAGCACTTAAAGTATATTTATACCTCAGTGTCTGCCAGTGTCACCTTGGTGAGGGCAACATCAAGTGCCTTCCAGATGATATCCTAAAAATACAGAGGAACCCAAATTTTGGCAGAAGCAGGGGTGGACTGACCATTTGGAAACGAGGGCCCAGGGTCAGAAAGGGGCCCCATGAGATGCCCCTGGTACCTTTTTCATAGGCTTTTTTGAGTTTGGGCAAGGACACAGGGGCCCAATGATCCCCTATTGCTCGGGGGCCCCATGAGTTGTCAGTCTGCCCCTGGGCAGAAGTTGTCCCAACGCTGTGTAGAAGCATGTTCTCACGAGATTTTGTATATTTAAGAGAAAGGCCCGTGATTTTGCCCTCGCCTATGAGACACATACAGTTGCTGGAATATAGAGTAAGTATATATATTTTTTTTATTTTAAAATTACTCCAACAATAGGAAGTTGTAACAAGGGGTGATGTTAGCATCTTCCACCTTCCCAGATCCTTGTCACTCCAACTTGCTTATGTCAGCAGGTACAGCACAAGAAGGTCACAAGTGAAAACTGTCTGACAATAACATTTTTACATTAATCAAAACTGACGTAGGAGTTAAGTATTTGTGTATTTTTTCATTTGTACGGTTTTCATTTTTTATTCCTAAAGTAGAGCTTGCATCAAAAGATAAGGGCTGTTTAATTGTTAGTTGCTTGCCCATTTGTGCCAGAATAAAAAACACAACACAACAATGAAAGAACCCTGGAAGTGAAAACCAAAAGAAAAAAAGATTTTTCCGTGTTTTTTGGAATAAATTTGAAAATAAAAATAAAATTTACATGGGAATTTTTTAAGGAATGTTTTGATGATTATTTTAAAGAAATTGTCAGTTATTTTAAAACAGAACTGAAAAAATATGATTTTTGCTGTCATTAAATATGCAACATCATTGTGTTTTTAAAATACATCATTACTTCTGTACTTTAAAATTCCTTCCATTATAAAGAAGATTTTAAAATATGATAATGATATGGTTAACATTTTATTTCTAAAACTGTGATTTAGTAAAACACTTTGTGCCATTTTTGCCAGCAGCAAAATCCCAGTGATATAAAAGAAAACCCTGGAAAAGCTAATAATAAATAAAGAAGTACAAGCTGCAATGGTTATTTTGCTTAATTGTAGTCTAATGAGGACAAATATGAAAATCTGATTACTGCGTTTTCTAAATCAGTCATTTATTTTTTTTACAGTGATGGTAAAGCAGCATTCTAGACAAGCAGCCAAATACACATTTAAATTGTATGAGAATATGGGAACTATTTCACTTTCCAAACAATTTATAATGTTGTCAAGACAGTCTGAAGATTTTTTTTAAAGACCTGACAGACAGCAGAGCCAGCTTGGTGACCGAATTTATTTCTACTGTAATTAAGCAATACAGCTTGCTCACCAACCTACCTCTAAGCCTGTGACTGGCCAGTGAATGAGCAGCAGAGTACTGATTAGTAATCCTTCTGCTCCCTCCTCCGATTATCATGTATATGTACACTTTATTGGCTACTAAAACTGCTTTTCCCTCTCCTAGTCTAAGCGCTAATGAACAGTGGATTACAGTAGGATGATAATGAGACAAATACAGATATTTATACTAGCTGTATTTAAAATTACACTAATAAATATCTGTAACAGCTGATATATTTTTATATCTGCCTGAAATTCAGCTTTAAAGGCTTTTTTACACTTGTGTTACCCTTTGAATAGCAATTCACAGTGGTTTGCTTTTTGGAGGGCGATTGATAGGTGGTGGCATTAATGTACTGTATATTGTCTCTTCACCACCTGTTTTATTTCATTATTTTAACTGTAAGTCTTTATTAAGTTTTAAAAAGGACAGTACAAAATATATTAATGTAAAGCACAATAATACCAGTCCAATCACCAAATAGCAGTTGGAGCTTATAAAATGGCATAATACAACCCATAATATTAACAATATGACCAAGCACGAGCCCTGCGTTCAATGAGGTACTGTCTCTTCACCGCCTGTTTTAACCTCTAAAAGCAGCACCGCTGCACCACAGCCATAGCCCTATTGAGTGAATGGGCCACCAAAAGCAACTGATGGAATACCTTTGGGGTGTATGCCCCCATACAGGGCCGTGGATAAGGGGGTACCACCGGTCCTCCTGTATGAGGTCCAGGCCAGCATGGGGGCCCAGGCAGCTGGGTGAATCAGATGTGGGCAGAGAGGGTGATCAGCATGGTGCGGGGGGGGGGGGCATTTACTGGAACCGATCCCCTGTATTGCTCTTTCTGCAGCAGCTGAAAGCTGGCTTCTTCTCCTCTCCCTCCCGCTGGCTTTCAGCTGCAGCAGAGAGAGCCACACAGGGTATTGTGTCCCGTAATTGCCCCCCCACCACACCCATCAACCTCCCTGAGCACCATACATTTCCCCCTGCTGCCCAACCCACCTCTTTATCTCCCACAGTGTTGTCAGATTCCCTCCTCTCATTCCCACCAGTAGCTACAAGCACACAATAGGATCCTTCAGGATAGAGAGTAGGGGAAGGATCTGGTAAATATGTCACATTTACCAGCCCCTTCCTTTTCTGAATTAACACAATGAGTGATTGGTACTGATCACTCACTGTGTTTATTCAAAAGTGAAGCCTTATAAAATCTGTGTGTGTGTGTGGGAGGGGGTTGGGGGGGGGGTTGTAAGGTTGGCTGTATGGGACTCCGTGGTTTCTAACAGCAGGTCTGCCCCAATACAGCTGCTTTGCAGTTTGGGGGAGCAGTAAAGCCACAAGTCTAACTAGTCTAAATAAACTTAAAAATATTGAATAATACCACTGCCTGCACAATCACACAGGTTTATTTAGCTGAGAATCAGAACACTTGATTCAAGCATAGAGCTTTTTTCAAAAGCCCTGACTAAGCATTATCCTAGAAAATGTACCACGAACATTTATCAGATTCAAAGCAAAATTAGCTTTGTCTCTAGTTTGGAATTGCAAGACCTCTTAAATAATTTGTAGCATTTTAAAACTATAGGACATCATTTGCAATAAGTAGTACAAGATCAGAATGTTTGTATTTACTGCAGAGGAGGAAAAAAAAATTGGAAAAGAAATACGTCTTAGAGGCCGTGTGATCTCCTGCCTACGTCTTTCATATGAATAATTTACTGCCTTCAAAAAAACAAAATTTCTCTCAAGTGAAAGCTGACTGGCGTTTAAAACAGCTTGGTTTTGGTTAAGTGAGCTGTATGATCGTTGGATTTTAGATTACCTAATGATCAGCAGCACTATGCGGCAGTCCTAAATCAGAACTTTTTAGAAAAGTAAGAAAGAGCTCAGGAAATTTATCAATGTCAGCAAACTAGGTCATCATCTTCTAACTGCTAACAACGAGGCTGCTCATTCCTCCTTCTTCAATATCACTTTCATGGCTAAGACCACGTAAAACATTTTACCTTGACTGCAGCTCTCATGGCACCTAAAAGAAAGTGATATGAAGAAATGTTTGAAGCTTTTGCAAAGAACTGCAAAAGTGTTACTCAGGACCTAGAATTTGACAAAAAGTCATAAAATAGTGAACTAGTATGAGCCGGGTAACAGACATTCATTTTCTGCATCAAGAAGCCAGATGGACAGACAGTGAGTCCAGCAGAAAAAGATACAGAGAACGTTCACATTTTCAGTGAGGATTTATTTAAAGCTGAACCCTACGCCAACAGTCAAATACCCCAGTTAGATTATATACATATATGAGGGCTGTTTAATCCTGCTTGACGGATAGGTTCACCTTTTCCTAAAAAATAATAAATGCACATTTTTTTGCAGGTAAAAAATGTGCATTTATTATTTTTGGTTGCAGGCGCCTGTGAAGCATTGCACCAGCGATCAGCAGATTGCAGGTGCCAGACTGGTCTCCTGCAGACTTGTCAGTATATCTGCTTGCCCGTTCGGGATGTATGGATAAGCAGATAAACTGACAGGAAAATTAAATGAACTAACACGGCGCTCCACAGCACTGTGGTAGTTCATTGAAAAATACAAGCCGACAAACCGCTAAGGCTGTCAGGACTTGCAGTTCATTCATTCACAGACAGGGGCGGACTGACAACTCATGGGGCCCCCGGGCAATAGGGGATCATGGGGCCCCTGTGTCCTTGCCCAAACTCAAAAAAGCCTATGAAAAAGGTACCAGGGGCATCTCATGGTGCCCCCTACTGACCCCGGGCCCTCGGGCAGTGCCCGAGTTTCCAAATGGTCAGTCCGCCTCTGTTCACAGAACACAGTGAATGATTGACGTGGTCATGTGGACAGAGCCCCACACAGCCACGCTGTTTTTTAAAAAGTGACAGCTTGTACAGGGAACTTCACCCTGTCTACTTCTGTCGCAGGGGAGTGTGCAGTCAGGAGAACAGCGGGCAGCAAGCAGCAGCAGCACCTATGAGAACATGTTATGATTAGGCACTTGATTGTGTGAAACGAGTAACAGCTAGCATTGTCCTGGTGCTATTAGTGTCCTTTTATGGATCAATAAGCTATCTTCACTTTTTTTTATCATACCTCTGGTGTGAGGCCGAACTTTTCATCTTTTTCAACATGTTACATGTTCCCAAAGGTGAACTTATCCTTTAACCACCTCCCGCCTGCTATATAAGGAAATGACAGACGCAAGGTGGTTCTCTCGTTCTGGGAGGACGTCATATGACGTCCTCCCACTCTAACCACACGTGCTCGATTCTGAGGGCACGCAGCGCGGTGATCGGTGGTGCGCTGTGTCCCTCGGACACAGCGGATCACCGATCAATGGAAAAAACCAAAGACGTCGGCTCAGTCATGTGAGCAGCTGTGTCCAATCACAGCTGATCGCATGTAAATAGGGAAATGCGGGTTATTGGCATTTCTCTCCTCACGAGCTGTCACGCTGACAGCTCGTGAGGAGAGGAGAGCCAGTAATCAACATTCCTCAGAGGGGGCATGTACACTGATCATCAGAGCACTGATGATCAGTGTTTCCTGATGATCAGTGTAGCCCCAGCAGCACCCCCTGTCAGTGTCCATCAATGCCAGCTGTCAGTGCTCATCAATGCCACCTGCCAGTGACCATCAGTGCCTCATCAATGCCACATATCAGTGCCTACCAATGCATATCAATGCCACATGTCAGTGCCCATCTAAGCTGCCTGTCAGTGTCACCTATCAGTGCCAGTCAGTGCTACCTATCAATGCCAGGCAGTGCCACCTATCAGTGCTACCAATCAGTGCCAGTCAGTGCCGCCTATCAGTGCCAGTCAGTGCCGCCTATCAGTGCGCATAAGTGCCTGTCCCTGCTGCCTATCAGTGCTGCCTAACAGTGCCAGCCAGTGCCGCCTAACAGTGCCAGTCAGTGCCGCCTATCAGTGCCATATATGAGTGCTGCCTTTCAGTGCCGATCAGCGATGCCTGTCAATGCCCATCAGTTCCACCTACCAGTGCCTCCTCATCAGTGCCAATCAGTGCCACCTATCATTGCCCATCACTGCAGCCTCATTAGCGCACATCAGTGAAGGAGAAAAATCACTTATTTACAAAATTTTATAACAAAAACTAAGAAAACTTTTTTTTTCAAATTTTCAGTTGTTTTTGGTTTGTTTAGCAAAAAATAAAAACTTGGAGGTGATTAAATACCACCAAAAGAAAGCTCTATCTGTCTCATAAAAAGGATAAAAATGTCATATGGGTACAATGTTGCATGACCCGCGCAATTATCATTCAAAGTACGACAGCACTGAAAGCTGAAAATTGGCCTGGGCAGGAAGGGGGTATAGTAGGCAAGTGGAAGAAATGCCTAACACTGTAAATTTTTAAGAATGTTCCCTTTTCCCTCCTCCAGCCTATCCTGCCTAACAGTATAAAGATCTGTGTACATATTTAATTTTAGGCCAGGTTCACATCTCCACACTTTGCATGGGCACGGTTACGCAGACATTCGAATAGGCTGATGTACCTGCAGGAAACGTTGGCAAAAATGTCCCCGACCCTGCACCATGCAGTTTCACACACCCAAAAATGCACTGCAATTTCTGATGCATGGGGTTACCACTAAGAATTAATGGCACCCCCAAGCCTCTGCTAAAGAGCAGCACATTTTTGCTGCTGGTGCCTGCAGTTGTGGGAACCTAGGGTTTACAGGAAAAGTAGGACCAAAGCTCTTTTGGACCTACTTGTCCTAGGAATCACAGGAGTGTGCTTCTTTAAAAACCCTGTAACCCTTATGCAGTCTGTCTAAACTCTGAAGAGATCCTGACTTTAATGTCAGGATCCACCCAGTTGTCTGAACTGGCAGCTGGCTCAGCCTTTCAGCATGTCACTAAAAGCCTGAGCCAGCAGCTCCCTCCCCTTGTACAGCCCAACCCTTCAGTGAGCACTTGAGGGGCAGAGCACAGAGCAGCAACTGACAGTCACCAATGTCTGTTCACTGAAGACAGTGAACTGATCGATCAGTGGTCATTTGATTGCTTGCTTCTCAGTCTTAGAGCTTGTGGGGGATAGATGCAGCATTGGATCAATGCTGCATCCACACCTAGGTGTGTATGAATGTTTCTGATCCCAAACATCTCTTTTAACCTGTTTCAGCATGATCACTTGATTTGCATGATTTTGCTGCTGTGATCTGCAGTTAGAGGGTGGCTACATTCAGTCTCCGTAGTCCTACTGTATGTAGGAACCTATCCACCCTATCTTACTAACTTCAGAGATTCCAAATGACAATGGACTGTGGGATTTGTAGTGTGCATAAAGCAGTGCACATGGCAGTAACTAATGTGCACTGCTTGTTCCAAACAAAAAGAAGTGGGGGGGGGGAGATAGAGGTTATGGAGCTCACAGATCACAAGGAGGGAGAAAAACAAAGAAATAATTCATGAAAAGTAGTGTTCTGGGCCATTAACCACTTGCCATCCGCCTGCTGTTTATAAACGGCAGGACGGTGGCACTCCAGGGGCGGGCTGCCGTTCATAAACGGCACCCGCCGTTTCTAGCTGTGCGCGCTCCCTGGGAGTGTGCAGCACCGTGATCCGGAGCCCACTGTGTCCTCCGGACACAGTGAAACACCGATCGTCGGACGGGACCTCTGTACAAGGTCCCGATCATGTGATCACTGATTGGCCAATCAGTGATCACATGCAAAGTAGTAAGCAAGATGTCACTGGTGACATCATTGCTTACTACGTGTGAAATCTATGAATGATTACAGAGATCACATGGTACAAGGCTATTCACAACAGCATTGTACCATGTGACAAGCTGTGACCAATCACAGCTCACTCAGTAGTGCTCAATGGCTGCAAGAATGCAGACAGAGAGAAAGAGAAATAATTGCTTTTACATCCTATATGGGTGTAAAAGCAATCACTGTAAGAAAAAAAAAATCTTCATAACCACCCACAAGTAGTACAGTGTCACCATGGTGACACTGTACTGCTAGGGTGACAGTATGTAAAAAAAAAAAAAAAAAAAACAATAATAAAAAAACATAAATAAAAATGTTAAATTTTTTTTTAAAATTATAATTTTTGGTTATAAACTAATTTGACTTATTCTTTTTTTACTAAAAAGATAACGGAATACATTTTGGCCAAGATTTATGATGAAAGATTATTTATTTGCAAAACTTTATAAGAAAAAACACTTTTTTTCAACATTTTTGGACTTTTTCATTTACATAGCAAAAAAAATAAAAATCCCAGCGGTGGATAAATACCACCAAAATAAAGCTTTATCTGTCTCAAAAAAAATGGTAAAAAATTCATATGGGTACAGTGTTGCATGACCGCCAATTGTCATTCAAAGTGTGATAGCGCTGAAAGCTGAAAATTGCCCTGGACAGGAAGGGGGTAAAAGTGTCCGGACAGGAAGTGGTTAAGTAGTGGATGGGTATGAACAGGGGCGGACTGACCATTTGAGCACTCGGGCACTGCCCGAGGGCCTGGGGTCAGTAGGGGCCCCATGAGATTCTCCTAGTACTTTTTTATAGGCTTTTTTGGGTGTGGGCAAGGACATGGGGGCCCCATGATCCCCTATTGCCCGGGGGCCCATGAGTTGTCAGTCCGCCCCTGGGTATGAATTACTTTTAGAGAATAAGGATATCATTTAGTGTAATTTAAGGGCTCATTTACATTATATGTGGTGACTGGCATTTTCTGCACCATTATCAACATCAATTACTGAAAGGGTGCATACAATACAATTGTTTTATATGTTCCCTGTCCACACTACAATGTTGCCTTGAGGTACAGTAGGTTGTAGTATATTGCCTAAAATGTAGACATGTTTCATGGCAGTGTATACTGTAGAAATGAACAAACTTTCACTTTGACATTTTAATACTGTTGCAGCTGTGAATGAATCCTCAAAAAGTATATGTAAACCCTCAGACCTGTTTCATATATGCTTCCGTTTGTAGAGCAGTGTGAACAGCAAGCTTTGACAAAGCATTTGGAGAGCTTTCAGCAAGCTTTGTTAAAGCTTTTAAAGTACTATTCAGCTCCAGTTTGTAAATGCTAAATACCGACCTTAATAGAAGTGTTGATTGCCACTTTAACCAATTCCCATCCACCCTATAGCAGTAATACTATATATAAATAATTTTGCACTTCCAGGTAGGGGGGCGCGTGTGAGACACGTGCGCCCTACCTGCGCCGCTGTTCGCGGCCTTGGCTGTTTTCTCCCCTCTCAGCTCCTGCACACTGCTATGCATTGCATAGCAGAGCCATGCATAGCAGTGTGATTACAGTGAAGAACACACACACAACACACAGTAAAACAGCACACAGCACACAGTTAACCCTTTGATCGCCTCACATGTTAATTCCTTCCTTCCCAGTGCCATTAGTACAGTGTCAGTGCTTTTTATTAGTACTGATGACTGTAATGGTGTCACTGGGGATGTCAGTGACACCAAGTCAGTTCCCCCCCAGTGTCATAATGCTCACCGCAGTCCCGCTATAAGTCGCTGATCGCCGCCATTATTAGTAAAAATAAATAAAAACCCCATTTGTAAACGCTATAACTTTCACATAAACCAATTAATTTATGAGCATTGCAATTTTGTTTAGCAAAGACGTAGCAGAATACATTTTGGCCTAAATTTATGATAAAATTTGATTTACATTTTTTTACTGGAAATGTTTAAAATAGCAAAAAAGTCAAAAAATATTGTTTTTTTCTCAAAATTGTCGGTCTTTTTTTTTATAGCACAAAAAATTAAAAACGCACAGGCAATCAAATACCACCAAAAGAAAGCTCTATTTGTGGGAAAAAAAGGATGTGAATTTCATTTGCGCAATTGCCAGTTAAAGGAACGCAGCGCCATAAAGCAAAAAATGGCCTGTCAGGAAGGGGGGTAAATCCTCTGGAGGGCAAGTGGTTAAGCAAGCTGTTAGTAGGCTTCAGCAAGAAGTGCTGAAGCCTGCTAGCAGCTTGTTTAAAGTGGCAACCATTACTTCCATTAGGATCTGTGGACAATGTTTACAAACTGGAGCTGGATGGTACTTTAAAGGTTTCAGAAAAAGTTGCTGAAAGCTCTGCAAATGCTTTGTGAAGGCTTGATGTTCACATCTTATACAAGCTGAAGGCTGTGAGAAACAGGCCTCACCTTGTAAAACTGAATTGCTACATGGTCAAGGAGGTGTCCTATTTAAACATCATCCTCCTGTGCATTAGTACTTGTGATAGCATATTCCTGTTGACCAAGTATACATTTATTTTTTTTCTGTTTGTTCTGGTTACTGACTTTTTCTCTTCAACAGATATCTCTACTGTCTTCTGCTTGCCCCAACCTTAGCTACATTTAACAGAAACTGACCTTTGCCACCTGACCAGATCCTTCTACTGTCTGCCTCCTGCCCTGACCTTTGCTACATCCACAATTTATGTATGCACCAAGCTGCCAGTTCTGACTTCTCCAGGTGGCCTCCATCTTGTTCCTCCCTTTTCCTGTACAGTATAACTACTCTCTTCTACCTTGGGTCTGCTAGCGACATCCAACAGCCAGAGTATAGAGTTTTGTGTACTGTGCAGGGGCAGACTGACCATTTAAAAACTCAGGCACTGCCCGAGGGCCCGGGGTCAGTAGGGGGCCCCATGAGATGCCCCTTTTTAATAGGCTTTTTTGAGTTTGGGCAAGGTCACAGGGGCCCCATGATCCTCTATTGCCCGCGGGCCCCATGAGTTGTCAGTCCGCACCTGGTACTGAGCATTGAGAGAAACCTAACATTGATAGCCCTGGTTTCCTTAAGTAAAGAAGAACTTGTAAAGGCATAGTTACACTTGCCTACTATTTACTCTGACTCAAAAGTCTGCATCTGGAGTGGACCTTACAGTTGTAGTCCCAGTCTGCAGTGCTGATGGGAGCGGTCATC